GGACTAGAAATGAGATTGAATGTGTTTGAGAAACACGTTTTTCAAATATTTATATGTGTTTAAGCCCTCAATAAATTTTGATGTATCCCATATGCAATTTTAAAATATCTAACTGACAGAGCTTTTCATACATACGCATGTCAAAATTTCCATACTGAACATACATCTAATTTTACCATTACACTAGATTAAAATGTCTCATTTCATCATCAAGAGTTGCAAGCTTTTTGAAAAAATTTTGATTATTTTCAATGCTATAATATTACATAATGTATTTGTGATCTAAATGTTCATGTTTTGCTAACCTTTTATACCAAAAACATAAAATAAAAAACTCAAGTGGAACATTATCTTGAAGATTACAAGTTCAATTAAATTTTAAGTATTCATGTGTATGATAAAATGTTTCCAGGACTAAAATTACATACTAACACAATACCTAGTGGCTATCATAGATTAGTAAAAATTGAAAATTACCTTGAACATGTTAAACACTACTTCAAAATTTAACGAGAAGAATAATTAAACAATTAAAATTACACGCTAACAGAAAATTATTTTCAGCTTCAAAAAAGAACAAAATTTTAAAGGAACAGTTCCACAGTTACAAGAATGCTCCTTGCCTATTAGTCTACTTAACAAAATAATACATTTTGCCTTCTAGGGAGTACTACACAGTTTAAGAAACAATAGAATATCTTTCATCTGTCAAACAGTACTATACACTTTAATAGAAGAATGTCTCCTGTGTGTCATAGAGAGCAATATAGTTTAGCAAAAGAATATTTGTTGTCTATAAATGAGTGCTGTACAATATAAAAAACAACCTTATTTTTGCCATAGACTAGTTACATTTCAACCAGAGAATACTTTTTGTTTACAAAATAACTATTTAACAGAGGAATATCAGAGAGAGATTACAATAATCTTAAAACAAAAAGGTTACAACATAGTGTCTAATTTAGCATCAGTATTTCAACTGTAAACAATACAACTTATCTGATATCATAAAAAGTTGCTTCCAAACAACAACTTGGTATATAAGATAAATTTGCATGCTAATGTGTAGCAGTAGGGTAAAAACACATTAATACATCAACACTAGTTACACAAAGTTTAGGTAGCTCGATGCCTTCCCCCATACAGATGACATCGGAGGCCACAGTGATGACAGGCTTTTAAGGGGAGATAGCACCACAAACATGGGACAAGCAGAGAAAGAAGTGCTAATCCAATCCAACGTCGATGACACTGGTCGTCAGAAGTATCACACGAACAAGGATGTTCGTTGAATTCCCCTTCTGCATCAGACATACAATGGTATAGCATACACTGGGCACAAGATATACAAGTGGCAGCATTGATACATGCTAAAACTGGATCAGGAGCATATTCACAACTGCCCTGATAGTTCTCTTCCTCATCAAACATTTCCTGGCAATAATGGCACTGGGAACGTCCAAGAGGAGACTGTCTTCGAGATTCTCTTTTATGGTATTTCTTCCTTTTGTTCTTGGTTGGCAAAAGAGGAGGTTGCAAGCCAGAAAACTGAGGTTTCTTGTAGCTACATGTAGATACACAGTCTGGTTTGTTTAGTTTTAATGGATCCATGACAGGATAGGAGTATTCATGATCTAATCGAGATGATTTATCCTTGGCAAACTGTACGTAGGAATAGGGTTCTCCAGAAAGGACTTCAATCTTGTCAATATCTTGAGACCCTGGATCATTGCTGGTCCTTGCTCTTACTTCCTCTCCTGGACCATTCTCACTTCCTCTACCTCCAGAGGATGTTCCTACTCCATTGGCGCTGCTACTGTTGCTAGATCCTGGAGGTATACGAGAGGAGCGCATGAAATGCATGCGATGAAGATGATGGTGGTTGGCATGAGGATGAGTGTATGGAGACGATGAGGTTGACAGCAAATCACCTGGTATACTATGAGTTGTGGATGATGGCTGAATGTACCCAGCAAGACTGCCACTTGTAGTACTAGAGCCTGATGAAGATCGAGAATCCACAGGCAACTCCAAAGTCTACATATTTAAAATCAAAGTTAGTGAAATACAAACAATATTACCTGCTGGTTTCTTTTAGTAATCCACATCTTAATATATATATATTTAACTGATGATTAAAATTGCAGCTTTTGGGGAATTATAATAGGGTGGTCCAAAATTATTTTTCCTATTTTAAAATTTAATAATTAACTAAGGAAATACAACCATACAGTTTTCAACATCTTGTAGCCTACCTCAAACAGTTTTTATTGACATGTCAGTAGACTTCTACATGTATACCATTAGCGGCTCTCAGCACGTCTAACTGATATTCAATTTCAGTCTGCATTTGCTGCAATATGCCCACAGATACAGTAGCGTTGGCACCTATTTTAAGCTCCATGATGTTTGCTATAGGTGTGCAATACATGATAACCTTAACATACCCCCGTACTGTAATTATGCTGTACCATAGTCACTGACTTGGTCTCTGCAAGATAAATGACGCACTGAGCCTTTTCTTGCATGGTTGTCATTTTACAGGGTAATACTATTCACTGGAGTGAAAAACCACATAATAAAAACTGCTCAAGATGTTGAAAATTGTATGGTTGTATTTCCTTAGTTATTTACAAAAATATAAATAAATATAAAAATACCTATTATGCAAGCTTAGTTCTTATTGCCTACCACAGCACTGATTTGTTTCAATGGTTACAGCTAAAATAATAATTAGCTTGAACATGTTTTAGCATGTTAACGAAACAAGGACTTTAGTGAAACTAAAGATAATAAAATACCAGAAGTAAACCTGACTTACCATGAAGACATCATCATCACCAACATCTGTATTATAGCAATAATCAGTCCCGTCCACATCTACAATATAATCCAAGTTGTATCATAAATACCAGCATGTATTTGATATTAGGAGCTACATATTATCAAGATATTTCAGTTAATGAATAATAAATAATACAAGTAACTAATTTTTATAAATGTTAACAAACAGATAAAGATAGCATCTCCATTAAAACTAACACAACCATTGCACATTATGCTATAATAGTTGGTTAATTACAATGTACATTTTAACATATAAGATAATGGTACATTTCTTGTGTTTCTGTTTCATTATTACAATTTTTTTTTTCTGTTATTCTACTGTTACATTGTGCTAAATTTTACTTCAGGTGCTTGTAGGTGCTAAAACTTCAACAATAACATCTCAGAGAAAGAAAGCTTTTTCTGAAAATACATTGTTATAAAAGTGCTCATACAAGAGGTCAGTTTCAAGGAAAAAGAGAACTTTCTACAATATTTTTTAGTAATTCATGGATTTGTTGATTACTAGTATGAAGACAATAATGAAGTGGAGAATTTGTGTACATTTTACAAAATATAGTATTTAGAACAGGTTGATTAGCCATAATCACAGTGAGTTAAAAAACAATGAATCTAACATTAAAATTGAGCTTATGTCTCATTAACCTGAAAAGCTGTAGACATGCTGGGCTAACTACTCATTGCCTGACTCAAGAACAAAATTTGTCATCAAAAAAATAAAACATATCACACATCATTCTTTAAAAACCAGAATCCTCAGTTATGCTTAAAGATTGGAATGTTTGATTTTGTAAGAAATATGAGTTCCTGCTTCTCAGGAAGTTCAAGTCTACCACTTACACAGATAAAAGTCTGACCTTACAAACTCAACAAAGAAGATATATTCAATTCAATACAACATTAAATTATCTAAGGCCTCACAAATGTCATTTATATTCAAACAACTATGTATTTTAATTTTACTGTTACAAACATATTTACAAATACTATGACACTATTCTCATAAACATTCAAATAAAAAATGTTAACATGGTACTTACCAGGCAAAGTTAGTCACAAAGGATGCAAGAAAATGGGCAAAATATGTACAATTAGTTGATTGTTTAAAAGTTTTCCACAAAGGGAAGCAAACTTTTGTGTGTGTGTTTGTATGTATATAAAAAAATATATTTCAATCAATACATATCTAAATCTTTTTCTAATGATAACTAGCTAGTGGGCTCATCTATTTAGTGAATCAACCAATGAACTTGATTTGCTTTGTTTGTAATTTCACACAATATTGAATTTGACCCACAAAAATAAACATATCAAAACAAAAAATGTTCATCATTTTGTAATTAAACAAAAATAAAGCAAAGAAATATTTGGTTTTAATATATCAAATATATATATATGGCAAACTTTTAAACTTCTCAGAAGTAGCCAGTTATATTTTCAAATATATATGATTATTACTACTTCCAGTAATCTTGACAGTAACCCAGTATCAATAAAGATACAAGGAGATACCTTAAACTGAAACAAAGGCAAACATAATAGATTTGCTTTATGATCAAAAGTTGTTTGCATTTATACATACACCTATAAACATGGTATAAGATGACACAAACTCTAAATCACATCATGTCAAATTAGACTAATCTTTATTTTCATTTTTACATGACTGACCTGAATGAATATACCATGCTTATGTTAATTCTATTTGAAATCAAAACCAGTAAAACTATGTTTAAATTACATTAAGCTAATTAAACTTATGTAACTTCAGAGTTCTTACTTCAATCCTTAGACCATAAGTTGAACCAAATTCACTATACATTCACCTAACCCCCAAACCTATACACTTTTAAATGTTTTGCACACCACAACTAACAAAACTAAGTCAACACTTCACGCAGCTAACATGAACCAGCTACCTTACTTTTAGTTCCAGTTGTAAACTCACAGTAGATGTACCTAAACCTAAACTGAATCTATATACCCACAAGTGTTTAGTTGTAGTTCTAAATGTATGTCATATTTACGTCATTTCTATTTGAAATCAAAACCAGTAAAACTATGTTTAAACTAATCAAACTTATGTAACTTCAGAGTTCTTACTTCAATCCTTAGACCATAATAAGTTGACCTATATTCACTATACATTTACCTAACCCCAAACCTATACACTTTTAAATGTTTTGTACACCACAAGTACCAAACAAAGTCAACACTTCATACAGCTAAGCTGAACCAGCTACCTTCATGTGTTTACTTTCAGTTCCAATTGTAAACTCACAATAGATGTACCTAAACCAAATCTATGTACCCATAAGTGTTTAGTTGTAGTTCTAGAATACAAAATAAATATATAAACTTGCACTATCAATACTTAACTTGAACTTATATACATGAAACTGCTTACTTTCCATATATTTCTAGATTATAACTAATGAAACAAAACCCATACTACAGATAACTAGCTAGAGCCTATATACCATCGAGAAGATCTTCTACTGCCATTCTTACTCCTTTGTCAAAGGCTCTGGCATCTGCTGCTGTCTGAAAGGTCAAGCCAAACCTGTTGTCTCCTGTCCTCCAATGATGAAAAGTTGGCATTACTTTATTATACTGAAAATCTTTCCTGATCATACAGCTTAGGACAACCTGTAAATTATTCCAATCTTGTTAATGAAGTATCATGGGTTAAATTTATTACAATTTAGATTAGAACCATAAAGTGACAGTAATAATACAAGTACAATAAAAGGTTTTTACATTTTATAAAGACAAGTAGGAATCAGTATATATGTAACCTAGCCTGCCATGGTAATATAGAAAGTTTTAATGCTACAAAAAGTACTGAAACAAGAAATTCAAAAGTACATAAACATGGTTACTTAAAATTGAAAAAATACTATACACCTGGAAAAAAGTTAAGCACCCCCGTGTTTTTTTCAAGTGATTCAGATTCAACGTTCTTGTGACTGATTATAAATTACCATTCAATCTAAACGTGTTTATCAAATGAAATTATGCATTATTGGGCACAAGAAAACATATCATGACATCAAAATATGGACAGTTTTCACGCTTAAAATTATCTTTAATAAGTATTGTCAGTGAAAGCTCAAAAACATTATTGAATTGTCAAATCACATTACAAAATGTCAATCATGACCCACACATTGATAATTAGTCATCGAAAAGTCAATATCGGGTATATCCACCGTTTGCCTGGATGACTGCTGCAACCCTGCGCCGCATACTGCCAGTTAGACGTCGCCATTCTCGGTGCAAGTGAGCTTCTAACTGTTGCAATGTCTGTGGAGGAGGCTCCAAAGCCTGTATTCGCCTACCTAACTGGTCCCACAGATGCTCTATAGGGTTGAGATCTGGACTTCTTGCTGGCAAAGGAAGAGTGTTGACGGATTCATTCTCTAAATAAGCCTTTACTGCCCTAGAGCGATGAGGTCTAGCGTTGTCATCCATGAATAAAGGTCTTGACGCTAACGTGTGGTTGTCAAAATGAGGTGTAAGCACGTCCCTGGTGTACTTTTCGCCAGTAAGGTTGCCATTGATTGTTACCAAATCCAGCTTGCAATCATGCGAGACACAGCCCCATACCATAACTGTTGGAACAATGTTTCTTGGAGTGTAAGCTG